TTATGGTCACATAAACCATGTTTTTTGTTCAGTTAAGATTTATCAGGCTTGATAAAGGTTCCTTAGTGAATGAAGACATTGCTTATATAACCATCAATTGCCCTATTAATGCTGCCTGTGTGCTCAGTCCTGCCTGTGCACTTCATATCATTTGTAACTCCTTCTGTTTTACAATTTTGCACTACTTTTCAGAACAAGACACTTTGATAAATGTCTCCCATGGTGTCTGCATCGAAGGCTTGGCAGATAGTGACACACTACAGAATTATTATAATTTTTTAAAAAGATAATTACATCAAACAATTTCAGTTACTTATTCCGTTTTTAAATAATAAATAGTTCAACTTTTGCCCAGGACGAAACCATATTTGATTTGTAGCAATGTACATGTGATGCAACAAGAAACAGGGGAATGTGGGAAAAAAAATGTTTGTGTCTGTGATATTTGCGACCCAACCCACAATAGAACGCTACCAAACTCTGCATGTATATACAGGATTACTGTGCTTCTGTAGCGCACATAATACATCCCAGTTTCTGTAGCCATTCTTGATTTAACATGAAAGATGGCTTAGAGAGAGAGTGCTAAAATTAAAATGTGTCCCTGTCACATGATCTGAAACTACAGCTTCCATCATTTTCTTCTAGACTGTGAGTTTTCAGAGAATTATAGGTGTTATACTCTACAACATCTGGGGGCACAGTTTAATGCCACTGGCTTAGAGGGGGAAAAATGCAATTAAGTAGTAAACTACTAAAACCTACTCAAATACTTTAACATATACCTTTTGTGACATGGTTTCTCCAAAGCATTGATGCCAAACCTCCTTTCTACTCTGGTGGGTTTATATTTTTATGAAGTTTACTTTGTTGAATTTCTATTACATCTCAGAAGCAAACTGTATTTTCTGTACGTATAATTATATATTAGATGTATGTGTAGTTGTAATTTCTATGTATGAAAAAATAAACTTGTTTTATCCTTTAACAAAATCGGAGTGAGCGTGAATAATTTGTGTATTGTGTAATTATTAGAAAGATGTTGCAGAACATGGCCTGCAGGGAATTTCCTTGTTTTGCAAGCAAGTAAATATTCAGCAAGTCTCTGGTTTAACGGGTTTTACAGTACACAGAAGTTGATAGGTTTTTCTAATGGAGCAGAATACTGTGTTCTGGACACGATTTCTCACAATACTTTACTCGATTGCAGAAGTGAAGAATGGAGTGTGGCATTTTATTATTCAAAGGCAAAGACTGCACACACCTATGGTATTAGAATGCAGAGAGGGTTAGTATTTAGCATTGTGGGCAAAATAAGCAGCTTGAGATGTTAGCTTGCACCCTCTTGTCCTCACATGATTTGACCCTTATATAGCACTGCACGCACTTTACCCAGAAATTCTTTGTATTTCAAGTTGTTTTATCCATTTTTGGATGTTGTGAGTTTATTAGATGCAGGACAATTTTAAAACTGAAATAACCAGTATTATCACTTTTATAGGGTGTTGGCTGTTTAGTATCAACCCACTGTTTATAATTGCTACACATTTGTCTTGCCCACTCAGACCTGAAACTGCTGATGTGCTAACCGGGGTGGATCTCCGGGTATTCTGTAACAAAGAAGAACTTTAACAATCATACAGGTAACTTTTTTAGAATTCATCATTTATATTTTATAGTTTTTAGCATATAGTGTGCACTTTATTACTCTGATATATCATTGTTCCTACACTGGTAGCTATGACAAAAAAAAAGAGCAAAAAAAACAAACATTTCTGTTCATCTGAAAGAATGTTTCACCTTCTCATGATCTTTGCCAGGTTATGTTTCAAGTGGAAATTAGAATCCAAAATCAATATGGGACTATTGCAGATATTTTGTTGCAGGTAATATTATTCTACTGAGACTATTTTTCACAGCATCCAAGACTCTTGTAATGCATCTGCTGCAACCAATTTTGACACATTGGTATCTTGGATAGTAGAATAGTATTACAATTAATGTTGGGATATTGATGTTATGGCGTTTAGACTATTTAATGTCACTGCAGTACCATTAAAGGACCACTATAGTGCCAGGAAAACATACTCTTTTTTTCCTGGCACTATAGTGCCCTGAGGGTGCCCCCACCCTCAGGGTCCCTCTCCCGCCCGGCTCTGGGGAGAGAAAGGGGTTAAAACTTACCTTTTTCCAGCGCTGGGCGGGGAGCTATCCTCCTCCGATCCTCCTCCGTTCCTCCCATTCGGCTGAATGTGCACGCGCATTCAGCCGGTCTCATAGGAAAGCATTTGCAATGCTTTCCTATGGACATAAAAACAAAATTAGTATCAGCGCTAAGTGAATATACCCCTATGTAGTAAACACAGGGTTCAACCCAAAAATGTCTTGTCCATCAAAGAGTTCCAATTTCAGTCTTAATTGAGGATACTTCCAAGCAATTCACAGGGATTAGTTGCTGCAACAGTAGCATATACGTAAAATCTGTGTCTTTATTACTTGCTGTCGCTCTGTGAATACAGATCTTTCTGAACCGTCCTGTGCACTTGGATCGGTCCCTCACAAGAACGCCGGCTTCCAAGCACTGCTGTGATTGTTGTAGATTTAAAAGTCCCACCAGACACACGATCTACATGTTTCGCTCGTTAAACCAAGCTTTTTCAATGATCTTGAAAAAGCTTGGTTTAACGAGCGAAACATGTAGGGACCGATCCAAGTGCACAGGACGGTTCAGAAAGATCTGTATTCACGGAGCGACAGCAAGTAACTCTTCCATTTAACACTCTGTGTGAATTGTGCTTTATTGTGAAACTTAGAGATAAGCTTCACAACATTATATTGTTTGGATACATATAAAGACACAGATTTTACGTATATGCTACTGTTGCAGCAACTAATCCCTGTGAATTGCTTGGAAGTACCCTCAATTAAGACTGAAATTGGAACTCTTTGATGGAGAAGACATTTTTGGGTTGAACCCTGTGTTTACTACATAGGGGTATATTCACTTAGCGCTGATACTAATTTTGTTTTTATTTTGTGTCTTATAAGATATTTTAAAAACTTGGGAAGGTTTTTTATTGTATCTAGCAGCTTTACAATTTAATTTTCCTGTGGAACACTAAGTTTGGGGCATTGTCCTAGAAATTCCACTGTATTATTTTTGACGTGCGCTCTCTATACTGTGTGAAAATCACCGTGAGAGCACGAAGCGTCCATAGGAAAGATACAAAAACAGTGAGAATCACGCAAGCGCCTCTAGCGGCTGTCAATGAGACAGCCACTAGAGGAATTGGAGGAAGGATTAACCCATTTACAAACATAACAGTTTCTCTGAAACTGCTATGTTTATTAAAAAAAATGGGTTAACCCTAGCTGGACCTGGCACCCAGACCACTTCATTAAGCTGAAGTGGTCTGGGTGCCTAGAGTGGTCCTTTAACTATGACAGAAAAGGCAACGTCTGTTTTAGAATGGATAACTGGTTGGCATACCTAAACTTCACAAGACATATGGATGAAAATGGCAACAAAACTGCACTGTAGCCCTTTTGCAACAATAATAGCATTCATTTACATTATATTTAAATTTTAACAGTGGCAAAATTAATTTAGTCTAAGTGCATGACCGTCTTATCGGCACTGTACTGTAGAGCTGCTGCACTCAGAACATTATCCTTGGCTACCATTGGATGGAGCTCTGTTCAAGGGGAACCACAACCCCTTCAGCCCCCCAGACTCGATAAACACAACATAAAGAATGGGCAAAATGGCAAATGCAGTGCAGATGATTTATTAAGAGGCTAGCAGCCACACAATATGTGCTATCAGTCACCTTAGTATTAATAATTTATTGCACAATGGTGTAAACGTTTAACAAGTTTATATATTACAATCAAAGCAGTACTATACAGTAGTAGGCTAAAGTGAGCAAAGCAAATATGTTGATGCAATTTCAATGTAACTGATGATGATAGTAACAGTTAATTTACATTAAATTAACAGAAGATTGTCACCAAAACAACTTTAGCTTAATGAAGCAGTTTTTGTGTATAGACCATGCCTCTGAAGTCTCACTGTTGGTTTTATTTTCAATCAGATGTTAACTTAATTTAGAATGATTTATCTTCTGTTCTGTAAATTGAACTTTAGTCATACGCAAAAGGCTCTTGCAAAGTCTAGTAAGGTATTACCAGTGCAGCGAAAATTCTATATTAAACAGACAGTGCAATAAAGGAAGTTTAAACATTAGATCTCACTTTACAGGAAGAGTTTAGGGAGGCAGTGCACGTTTCATGCAGGGAGTTGTGACTAGGGCTACATAAGTGATTTAACACCTAAATGGCAGATAACTGAGCAGTGAAACTGCAGAGGCATGATCAATACACCAAAACTGTGTCATTAAGTTAAAGGTGTTTTCAGTGACTTCTTTAAGAAGAACGTTCCAGGTCTTGAACTGTTATTATTGACTCCTGGAATACCAACTTATTTTATGTAATTGCTTTATTTAATTCAGGAATAGTTAAAGTTGTATAGGCCTTTATTCCACAGCAGTTCTTGGGTTATTCAGCCTATTTCTATGAACTATTTTGCATCAGTATATAGAAGTAGACCCAGCTATTAATATAATTTTTCAGCTTACTAGGCTGTGTTTGTAGACAAAGACATAACGCCGAACCAATGTTTTCTGGGCACCATAGGTGAACTGGTTGCCTGTCATCCCCACATCACAATAACCCTAGTGTGATGGCTGTGCAAGGGACCTTCTAAGAGCTGTCACGTGTTGCAAACAGTTTAAAAGTGAGTTAGTGCACTAATATATAAAAAAAATCTGCAAAAGGATAAATCATGCATGTTAATCTGGTATTACCCTAATGTATATCATAATAAATATATATATATATATATATATATATATATATATATATATACACACACACACACATATACATACAGTCTCCAATTAGTCCAAAAATTGTACAGTCCAAGATAAAATTCTTGCAATGTGACAGGTTCTAATTTGGATTCTAAGAGACAAAAAAATATATCATCCAATTGTGCAGTACTGAATCAGCAGGGATTGGGACACTCCCCCTATGTACTCCGCTCACCTGGTGCAGGGACTTAAACCTGCCCCACAGTATATCACGTAACCAGGTCTAAAGCACTCCAATGTATTCCACAACTTTATTAGTATAAAAAGCTTCCAATTTCAATATAAGTTAAAAGCAGTATAGCTGGCTCACAGTTCTGTGGGTTTCTCCGGGAATCACCATCCACTGGTGTTCCTGCTCGATCTTCCTCCTCCCTGAACGCCAGATATGTAATAATTTCGGCACCACGTGACTTCGACATTTTTCCCCGTGTGGGCTTTCGCAAAGTTTGTGTATCCCGAGTGCCGGTCTTGATGAAATACCTCCTCCCCCTCATGCTGATTGGTGGTCTACAGCGCTGCCAGCTCCATGTAATACATTCTAAAGTGCTTGATTCAAACATTTGGACAAATCTATCCCTTCGCAATTATATCAATGTGAAAACATTATATATTAAGATTAATATATTAATATTAAAGGACCACTATAGGCACCCAGACCACTTCAGCTTAACGAAGAGGGCTGGGTGCCTGGTCCAGCTAGGGTTAACCCTTTTTTTTAATAAACATAGCAGTTTCAGAGAAACTGCTATGTTTACACTGAGGGTTAATCCAGCCTCTAGTGGCTGTCTCATTGACAGCCGCTAGAGGCGCTTGCATGCTTCTCGCTGTGAAAATCACAGTGAGAAGACGCCAGCATCCTATGAACTGGCTGAATGCGCGCGCGGCTCCTGCCGCACATGTGCATTCAGCCGATGACGCCGCTAGGAAGGAGGAGAGGAGGAGGAAAGCTCCCCGCCCGGCGCTGGAGAAAGGTAAGATTTTAACCCCTTCCTCTCTCCAGAGCCCTGAGGGCACTATAGTTCCAGGAAAATGAGTATGTTTTCCTGGCACTATAGTGGTCCTTTAACCCCTTAAGGACACATGACATGTGTGACATGTCAGGATTCCCTTTTATTCCAGAAGTTTGGTCCTTAAGGGGTTAAGGTGCACACTCAACTTACATAACTAGGCAAATTTAGTTACCTCACACACGAGACCTACTACTGCATGATTAGCCTGCTTGATTATCTATATATGTTTATTCTCTTAAGAACGTAATGCCACATACCTTCAGCCTTAAGCACAACTACTACTGTCATATGCATGTCTAACCTAGTCTTTTCCTTACAAACTACCATTGAATCATAGCCTGCTGTTCTCATACTATATAAAAAAAAATTTAAAAAAAGTGCTGTTTTATATGCCACACAATGGAATGTTACAAAACTGCCTGCAGCTGCTGTCGTGGCTCTGCAAAGCTTGTTTGTCACTTTA